TTTATCAAGGGGGCGGATTGTTGTTTGGTGTAGAAGGCTTCCAGCCGTACATGTTTGAGCCCTTGCCTCGCAACGCTGCCAGTTCTGTTAGCTCTACGCCTGCTGAAGACACAGACGTCCATCCCCGTGAACACTGGGACGGAACTCAATGGGAGAGTAAATTATTCTGATTTCTTATTTCAACCGTTGCGTATATTAGCTGCGACATATGAATCAAGTTGCTATGATCGAAAAGATTTTGATTGACAGATGACCGTTGATATATGATTGGCCGAATTTAGGTGTTCAGGCTGACGTATAACTAACTGGCCTGCAGAAGAAACCCACACAGATTTTAAGACAGGATTTTTAAATAGATTATACTTCTGCAACCACACACATCAAATGTCGCTTGTGTCTGGTCGCAAAGCAGTTTTGCTGGTATGTTTCTGCACCATCAGTCTGGAATTTCTAGGGACGCACAGCAGTCTCCTGCCAAAGCGCAAGGGGGAGCCTATTGGAGAACTCGCAAGAACTTCGGCGGATGGTCACGAGAACTTACGCTGGGCCGGCAGGAGTGTTTATCTTCCAAAACAACAATGGTGCGTCTGCAAGATACCACAGTCATGAAGATAGATCTAGAGTTGCTAGACTTTGAAGAGGAACAGGCTCTGTTAATGGAGCTGGCAAAAAACAAAGGAGGACACATAGGTTGTTCATTGTAGTTTTTCCTCGGTTTTTAAAAATGACGCGCCCCGGCACCGAATCGAGAAGGACGACCACACAGACAGCCGGAAAGGCATACAAAGGACCAATCACAGCTGCTTTTTGTCTGCGCACTTCCACTTGAGGTCTGCATGGGTTTGCGACCGTCTGATGCGTAGTCAGGATTTTTTTGAGGTGCGTAACAACGGATTTGAGAGACACATTTGACGACTGCAGAGGCTATGTGTCAGAAGCATAAATTGGCCTTTGCATACGTGTGTGTGTGTGTGTGTATATATATATATATATATATATATATATATATATATATATATATATATATAAATATAAAACGTTAATATAGCACTGCAGTTTCATGGTTGTGGAATATACCTCATCCTCTGGAGTAGGAGGATCTGGGATGGGAATATCCAGCGGAGCCTGGAGTGCAGACATGTCTCTGATGCTTAGAGCATCATCCTGGGAAAACAAAAGGAAAATACATGAATTATGATGGTGGCTGGGACAAAATAAATAACTATAGTTTGTAAAGTGTACCCTGAGCAGAGCATCCAGCTGGATTATCTTCATTGGAATAAAAGTGGAGAAGAGTTTCTCAGCCTGAATCACAAAACAGACATCATTAGGAGCTGCGGGAGGATTGAACTAGGACACATTCTGATCATTGCGACACGCACCTCATTATAGAGAGACTGGCGGAAGTTTTCCAACTGCGTTAAAGACAAAAAGGAAAATAGACATGCTGAGTCACCTTTGCAGACATCTTTTTGGATTTACTTTCGTTTTCCTCCCTAGAAAAGGGACTTTCCGCTGCATATGGCCGCATAAAAAGCTCCCTTTTATATGTATTATATATCACACGTATCATTTGTAAAAACATGCATTAATACATTTGAAAAGTTCAAGTGAAACTATCAATTCCTCCCTGTATTTGTTCCGACAGCAGCAGATGGACTCACCTTGGCTGCGTTCTCTCTGCTGATTTTCAGAGTTGCCGCTTTTGACATGATGAAACTTTATAGTTTTAAAAGACTATTATTTAAAATAAATAGAGCCACAGATTACACTGGAAATAAAATGTACTGTGCGACTGCTGGTGAGGACAGTTGTTCTCCTCGGAGGTGTGCGTTATTTTATTTCCTCATTCAGTTTACTTTCGATTAAACGTCGCACCTCCCACCGAATGTGTCCCTCCGCTGATGGAAGTAGTCCCGACACTGTTGGCGAACGACACAGATCTGCGCATGCGCAGTCTGGGAGGAGAGGAATTCGTCATTAACCGATCTAAAACTAAAAGCCCTTGAGAAACGTTTATGTCTATTCTTTTATTACATAATACGTTTTTTAGCTTAACTTATTATCTTAATACAAAAAATATTGGAAAATAAAATATAAAACCGGTTAAAAGTGCAAAAATGTATAAACATCTGAGAATTTACTGCATTTATAGTGCAGTTGGTAAAGTTAAGCAGTCAAAATTAGGAGAATCTTTATGGTAATTTAAAGCGTTTCAAAATAAACATTTTCGGGTTATTTTTTCGCTATGTCATTCATTCATTTATAAAAATCAAAGTGCCAAACTAAATATTTAGATTGTCAGTAAAAAATAAAAATAAAAAAATCTGCAAGCTAAATATTTATTTTCCAAAATTAATTATTTCGTTTGGAGCTAAATGTTTATTTATCAAACTACATATTCAATTTGCAAACTAAATATTTAGCTCCAGACTAAATATTTATTTAACAAACTTTAGTTAAGATAATTATGGAAGCCCGTTTCTGCCACATGAAAGTAAAAAAATGCCAAATAGAAAGTCTTAATTTCAACTTTCAAAGTCATTATTATGACATTATTGCTCATAAATATGATTTTGAATCTCACAATTATGACATTGAAAATCAAAATTATTACTTTGAAAGTCGAAATTATGACTTTGTATTTCATTATAATGACTTTCTTATTGGCATTTTTTTTACTTTCATGTAAAAAAATGGCTTCCATAGCTAACAAATATTTAGCTTGGAAAATAAATATTGAGCTTGCTGACATTTTTTTTTTTAAACTGACAATCTAAATATTTAGTTTGGAACTTTAATTTTTATTAATTAATGTTTGGCATGGTAAAAAAACGATTTGGGAAAAAAGCAACCCCTTATTTTTCTCTTGAAATACGCTAAATAACCATAGGTATAACATTTTATGGGTCGAATTGGGTTGGGGAGAAATATGGATAAGTAAAAGCAAAGCACTTCATAATAAAGCCTAATGAAAACCACTGTAGAAGATTACAGGTAAAATCTGCCTGCAGAAATGAAGACCCGCCATCACTTGTAAGTGCTGTTAGAGCCATAAACAAGAAATATCTAGGTTATTGTAATATTTAGAATTTTTGTGCGATGCCTATAATTTTGTCATTTGTTGTAAGGTTAACGTCAGTACAGGTATGTTTTATTGTGAAGTTTACTTTCATGTTGAAAGGCTTACTTCCTGTTTTTAGTTTTTTTTTTTTACGTAAAATGACAGACTGCAGGAGAATTACGCAGCATAAAGTTACACAGTGTTTGACCGTGTTTTTTGTGTGTGTGTGTGTTTTTTTTTTTTTTTTGAAGGAAAATTATTTCTACCGTCACTTTTTATATGACATATTTCTTGGATAACGAATTTATGGATAAACTTCACGGTTTTTCACGCGTCTTTTTCTTATCCAGGGGCGCTATTAAAATGATACAGATATTGGATCTGTTACCAGTGCTAAGATAAAAACCATCTAAGGTTTTTAAAAAGAAAAGTCGCGGAGAATATGCTTTTATTCTGAAAAACCAGACCTTAAAACCGGAAGTAGAATTGAGAACAAACCGGTTTTTTTTTTCATTTCCGCGTATACAGCTAGTTTTAGAAGGACTGTAGCCTTCCAGGCAAGGCGATGTGTTTTGAACACATTACCTGGACAAAATTGAACCAATAAATATATTTATTACATTTCTATATTTCCTTGGACACGCAAGATAAAACCTCAAAATCAGCATAAAGAGCGGCAGAGGTAAGTAACGTACATGGTCAAAATTGCTAGCTTGTTCAGCCTATTTTAAAGTTTCACTTTCAGCTAAACTGACATTTTTGTTTTACATTCGTAATTGGTCTAACAGACTCCTGACAGCTGTAGAATCATGTTTTCCTATTTTTAATGTTTTGCTAAGCAGCTCTGAGGCTGACCCTTTCTCATTTGTAAGCTGTTTAATACTGGTTCTAATATTAGCTTAGGTTGGACTTTCCCACTATTTCACCAACAGTGCATTTAATGGCTCTCATGCTTCCAAGCACAGAGAGCTTCCTGTGGGTCATAAATGCCTTAAACCTTGGACATTTACCCTGACTGTACATTTCAGCCCCTTTGGTCCTTGTTTAGATCTGTTTTAAACACATAAGCTCTCTGTTTTTACAAATTACTGAGCTGTAATGCAGGTTTCATTTAGAGCAACAGGAGAAGACTGAAAGCGATTGTATAAAAATAAAAGCAGAGATTAGTCTCGGGTTCTTCTGATGGTTTTATGTGAAATTAACCTAAAAATACAGTAGTTTATATTGATTTGGAAGATTTTCTGGACAGTAAATAAAATGTAACTCAAATGTCACAACCGCACTGACAGCGCCCCACTTAATAATTATATATATATATATATATATATATATATATATATATATATATATATATATATATATATATATGTCACTTTGCATTTAGGATAAAAAAAGATATATAAAAAAAGTTTTAGTTTCCCTTCATCTAAATTCTGTAAAAATTCTTCTTTATGCAAACGTTGCTATCCAATTGTCAAATATTTTATCCAAAAAAAAAAATCTATAGATTAATCGATTTGCAAAATGATCATTAGTTGCTGCCTTAATTATAATATAATGCAGGAAGGGCCCCAAACTACAGCGAACAATCAGGATCCCCAGGGCTGACCTTCCCTCTAACCAGGTCTAGGTGCAGAGATAAAGCAGCTATAAATTTCTGCAGACCCCACACATCCTGGACACCGTTGCTATCTAGTGTCAGGCTATGGGGTTTGGAACCACTACTTAGAGCCGTCTCAGGACGTAAACTCTTGACTACCACGAGTTCTTTGATGATCATACATCCCTTATTAAACATGGCTGTGTTAGAGACGTTACTCCAAATACAGAGGCTGCAGGTTTTATGCAGCTCTTCCCACTGGAATTCTTGAGCAATTTGCTTCTTTCTCTCTCCAATCTTCTTTCTGTCCAGCTAAGGATGTATAAAGGTCACTAGGACCGAGAAAGGTTGTCTGTCGACGGTAGCTGCTGAACCAAAGTAACCTCCATGGATCTCAGGGCCTGGAGCTAGGCCTAGTATGAATGTTTTATTTGCCACAACTTGCTAGGATTTACAGAGGACAGGACGGAGATGCACACAAAACAATAGCACTGACCCAGAGGTACTTTCTATGGAAAAGGAGAATGGAGAGATGGTATTAAGGAAATGTTAGTGGCTGAGTTAATGCTCCATCCAGTCTGGCACAGATTACTGGAAGTCAATTTTTTCTCTGCTACTGTAAACTAATTTAGATATGAGATAAGGTAATGTAGTGAAAATGGTCTTTTAATGTTTTTTGAGGTTATGGATGAGAATCAGAGTGAAGGAAACTTTACCTGTTGATACAAATAGAAAGAGCAGGGTGGCTGTAAACAAAGTAAGACTAAACCAACAGTGACTAAAATGCTTGATGGTGCCTTTAAAAGCTCTATTTTACATTTTAAACCTGAAATATTCCAAACGGGTGTCTTTTTTTCCCCTTTCTGACAGCAATGAGCAACAGCGCAGAGTCGGTCCAGATGGAGGAGGTCCGGCTGAGAGCCCAGTCGCTGCTCTCATCGTCAGGTTCGGCCCAGGACGTGAAGGCCGAGGTCCTGACGTTAGCCAGCATCGCTCTGCCTGTCTCAGAGAAGTACCTTCATCTGACGGCGGAGGAGATGCTGAGGGAGAACACGGTTGGTCGCCATAAGCTGGAGGTCCGTCCTCGCTGAGCTCATAATGCTGCTGATGATTTCTGTTTAATATTAGAGCTTTCTTGCTGCAGTTTGATGACAATTAACTTAAGTTCCATTGTTTTTTATCTTTGGAATATTAATTTTGAATTTATAAGTTAGAAAAAACGTTGTAAATGGTCCTTGTCTTTGTGATCCCCAACAGTTCCAGTATGTTGGGTAAAGTTTCTTCCAGTTAAATGTCAGCAGAGTGACAGAACTGCTGCTATGAACTGGCTGAAGCACTGTAATGATAATAAGCTCTAAAAAGAACTTCTATTGTCTGTGTGATTGTCTTCCGGTCAGGTTTTGGAGTCATTGAGCAGACTCGTCAAAGCTCTGAGCATCCTGGAGAAATATGGTTGCAACCTGACCAGTCCTACCAGGCCCAGATACTGGAGGAGCGTCAAACACAACAACCCCGTCTTCAGAACCACAGTGGACGCCATCAAGGCAAGAATAACTCCTTTGAGCTGATTATCTCCTCCATTATTAAGCACGATAACGACCCGATTGTCTCTCAAGGTTAAGAAAATGTTACACGGTTTCATCTGTGACGTTGTTATATTCTTCATCAGGGAGGTCGGAGAGTCCTGTTCCTGTACGGATACACCAACCAGCAGATCGACGGCCTCAGTTTCCCCGATGAGGTCACCGAGCCGGACTGTAATAAAGTTGCCGCGGTTACCCTGGAGGTGATGACGCTGCGCACAGAAGTGGACATGCTCGTCAAAGTCAGTCAGCACCCGATAAAACCTGTTTATGGTTTTTATCCACGAGGAGGAACCTCCTTTTTATCTTTTCTCTCTTTTTATCCTCAGGGCATCCATCCTCATCCTGAATGCTTTGAAGACATCATCCCCTGTCTCATCCAGCCGGTCCGTACACATTTTTATTTTTAGAAACACCACTCTGTTGGCTCTATATCTATGTTCAGTGTTTGCTTACGGAACATTCATGCTGAGCTACACTTTTTTTTTCTTCAGAAGAAGACGTCCGACGACTCTGTGGTGAATCTGCTTGGAGACTTGGGAGAAAAACCTCCCACCTCAACTCCTTTAGCTAAACCCATTCCTTTGCCGCGGCAGACACAATTTCCAAAGGCACCAAAAGGAGAGCTTTTTACACCAGTGAATAAACGTGAGCCTCATCAGATCCAAAGCATTTAGACAGAAACACGCAGCACATAGTATTGTTACATGATCATTTTTAAATTCATGTCGTTAGCTCACTTTGGTTTTGAAGTTCTTCTGAAAGAGTACTGCTTCCTGCTGGCATTTTAATTACACTGGTAATAAAAATGGAGGTGCGATACTGAGCAGGAGGTAAAGAAGGAAGTGACGAGTCTAAACTATTAGCACCTCACAGCCAAGTTGTGAAAATAATGAAGGAAAGTATGGAAAAAAACAACAAAAAAAAATGCATTGAGTTAAAGCGCGATAAAACTAGAATAGTACTCAGGATAAAATGAGAAGGTCGATGTTCGCTCACGCTGGAGCTAAAGCTGTGGAGATGTGGCTGCTAAGTTAATGGTAATGCTAGTGATAGCAATTCTTGCTATCATCGATTAAAACTTATTCTCTACTGCGGAAGTCTTTAACAGTTGGTCCGCGACCCCTAGGGGGTCCGCCGAGGTACTTCATGGGGGTAGCGAAAGTTTTGATTGATTACACTTTTTTTATATATTCCCTCCTGCAATTTTTTTCCACTAATTTAAATTTTATTTAAATCCACATTAGCATGAATTGAACACACTGTAGTAAACAAATAAATGGAGGCAGAGGATGTCTTTCAGTCATCAATGCACACATTCAAAAACACACAGGAGCTCTTTCAAGCTGGGCACCGTTTCATTCACAACACCTGTCCCATCAACCAGGAATCAGAATCAGAAATACTTTAATAATCCCAGGGAGAAATTACTTTCGTTACATTACTCCTTCTGTAATAGAGTGACTATAGGACCAGTTTGATATAACACAATTTGATACAATATATATATTTGGGGGGTTCCCGTTCCATCTCAACATCAGTTTCAGGGTCCTTGGCCTGGAAAACGTTGAAGACCCCTGCTCTACAGTTTAAGTTGTTTATTTAATTTAAATAGACGGTATCTCGGTGCATAAGGAAGTCCTGATAAGATATCTGTATCGAATAACGAACCAGTATCGGCTGAAAAACCAATATAGGAATATATATCAGCCTGCATGTAAAATCTGCAATATCAATATGCTGGTAGAAACACTGCTGCAACTGCTTCTGTTTGAAGTTTCTGTCACCCACTGGTTACTGTTTTTCTCTGTTTGAGTTAAATCACTTGATCAAGCTTTTTC